GGAACGAAGCAGGAGTGAAGCAGTCCAGGTGGGGAGCTGCGTCAGCATGCGTAGGCAAAGGAAGAAGTGATAGGTTTATTCCACGCTGTCCAGACACCTGAAGAAGGCTCCACAGCCGAAACGTTGGGTTTTCTTTCTTCTCTCTTCAGCATGGAATAAACCTATTACCTGTTCCTAAGCAGGAGTGAGATATCTGAGTGTCTGTGTCTGAGCTGGAAACATCAGGAGGAGAAGAACGTAAATAAAGCCTTTACATGAGGAAGAGAAGGCCATTGGTCCCATCTGACCTGTTCGTTAGTAGTTAACTGATCCAGCCTGGTTCACGTGTCACTGTTCACAATCCAAAGCACACTCAATATTAAATGTTCAAACGCTGCAAAGCAGATAGTGATGTTGCCTTAAAAACCCTAGTTTAACTAGTACTTTTCTTTACCAGTTCAAGGTGCACCATTTCTTGACGTTGTATTTATTAAACCCACTAAGTAAACATTACTGCCTTCTTGCAGTCATCTGCTGCCAACAAGCGGACATAAAGTGTTGAATTATTTACTTTAACATTAATGGCCCGCCTATAGCATGACTTCTCTAAGCACAATCATCCTTAATACGTGGGAACCTTGGCGAAGATTGCACAGTTATTTCTCGATTTCAACATCTGTGAGTCAGTTTTCTTCGCGTCTCACACCTTAGCAGCGCACAGCACTGACTGTTCCCCATTCTCTCATCTCATCTTTTGTTTTGTTTTTGTTGTTGTTTTGCTGTACAAAAGCCCTGTTTGAAAAAAACAAATATTTGAGAAACAAGTAAATGCATTCGACAAACTTTCGCGCACCATGTAGCTCCAGTTCTGTCACACAAATTCACTTCAAGTGAAAAGACCGGCTCCAGGCCACAAGATCAGATAACGTGATTATATAATCTAACAGTGTCAGCTTAACGGGCTGGTCACCTCCTGGGGCTTTTCGTAGTGTAGCAGCCGGTTTTTAAGATCACTGATCGCAGTTGTCTACACAGGAATTAAATCAACTCACTCCCTGTGAACAGCCACAGTATCACACAAACCCGTACTTGATGTGGGTAACTGTGATGTTACTGAAACCTCATTCATCTATACTTCTCCTATTCAACTAAACCTATATATGGAGAAACAAACAGGTTTTACTTACGAAATGTATACATGTAATATTAAAAAGGAAAAAGTGAAACAGCTCTTTAGAATGTAACACAACGCGCTTCTCAAAACTGCAAACATGATTACTGACAGTACGGGATTTACCGTCTTACCGTCTGACAAGCGTAAAATAATAACATTTGGAACAAAGTCGGGTGAAAAAAAGTAATCTAAGCAAATCTGTTTAAGTTACTGTAATTGTTGACCAAACTCACCTGTTTGGAGTAGACTACATTATCCTATAAGACTGTATCGTGATACAAAGCTCTGGCACACAGGAACTTGATGGTAACCCGGCGAGAGAAGAAGAGGTAGATTGACAAGGGTTGAACCAATCACATCTCAGGGATAAGGCACATTATCCAATCGCAACACAGCATGGGAGGGGCACTTCCTCATCAAGTTAGATAGAGTGTGTGCCCAGACTACGTGTCCTGGTAATAAATTAAAGTGACAGTGATTTAATCGTCTAAGTTAAGCGGTGATCCTCGACCTTGGTCACTATTACTGTTGGTCACATCGCCGATTTCTAAAGTTACATAGCGGAATAATTCCACTGTGATCAGTTAAACGGGTGATTTTTTTACATTAAGAAATGTAGAGGTCATTTAAGACTTAAGTAGCCCTCAAAGACTAGAATTCCTAGTTGAACAGATTACTTCCTTATCAGTAGATAACAGGCGTTGCCAGTATTTAAAAACAGATGACCTATGAGACTAACTGGATTATGTTTCTCCAGGTCCAGGATTGCAGACCTTGTAAAGCATGCTTATGCAGTTCAGCAGAATTTCTGATAAAATTATTCTGTTTTTATAGAAATATACAGTATGATTGTCTATATGTGAAATGTTCAATGACACATTTTTCTTCCGTCATGCAAAAAGATCAACATTTATCAGCAGTAAAGGTCCCAGCATTTATTTTTTCTGTATAGGTCCCAGAAAGTTAACATGCAGTTCTGAAGTTCAGTGTCAGTGTTCAGCGAAGACGGCACAAAATTGCAGCTGGAGCTGGTGACAGATGAACAAGGCCACTGTCTAATGGGCTCTGCTCACCTTTCGTGAGTTTCTCACAGGAGAGAGAAACAGTTCAGGAAGAGGACAAGCCTCAGGTCCCTTGACTCACAGCTCTAGGGTTTAAATGCAGGCCTCTTTCAGTTCACCTTCAGCCACGTCCTGCTTTCTCATAGTGGCATTCTGGTTTCCTGGTTCATTTGGCCAGGTGACTGTCCCTCAAACCAAGTGGGTTAAAACCACAATACTGATATTCTGCAATCATCTTCTTGGATTTTGTATCTTCTGAAATACTTAGTTTATTCCCTTTCATACTGTATGCATTATCACAATATAATAATTATTATTATTATTGTAACCTCCTGGAACTGTAACACTTCCCATATCAAGAAAGAGGCTATATAACTATACTTGAGACTGGTTCCTTACCCTTCCCCTGCCTCCAGTGACCTTTGGTCCTTTACATCTTTGCTGTCAACAGCAGCATGACTGACCTACAGGCCTGCCTCTGAGAAAGGCATGCAGATGTTTTAATTATTCAGAATTATGGGATATATGATCATGTGGATCATAACTGTGGTATGACCCTAAAAGCAATTTAAGTGAAGAATTGCTGAAGATGTTTCCTTTTAAAACACATTGTTTGTTAGACATCCTGAAATACTGCAGATATTTTGTTTAAACAAGAATTCCCTTCAAACAACTCCCCCGCTTTCACAATCCTGTCCACTGGGCACCAATAAGAGTGAAGAGCTGACATTCTTTGTGGGAATGACAAGGTATCAGTGTTTCTGGCAGGTAACAACTGCATATCACCCTTTCTAGAACAACAGCTCTGGCAAATTATTTTCAGATTCCAAATTGTTTTCAGATATGTTTTCACAGACACATATACTCAGGAGCAGGCCTCCTCTGGACAGGCGCACATATCTGTGTTACACTGTATCACATGTTTATGTTAATGCATGGAAAGCAATGTATGAACAGAAAATGGTAACAGTGAGCCAGTAGTGTGGTAATGTAGTTCTTTCTTCATGCCCACCAAACTCTTTAAGTTGACGGTTCCTGCAGGGCAGAAAGTAGATGCTCTTAAAGGAGCAGTAAGGACAAAGTGTGAATAGGAAAATAACTAAACGAAGAACTTGCAACAACCATAGATTCTTTGCTCAGTTGATTCTCATTAATACTGATAATCTGTAGAGCTTGGAGGAAATGGATATAAAACAATCTAGTGAAAAATAAAGCACATGCTAAATTACTTTTGAACAGCAGTCATTTTAAATCCCTTTCGCCATGATGTGTTTGTTTCCCTTCAGGGATAAATCCTTGCACGCAATATGGAATTGTGCATACAGCCCCTTTACTAGATATTTTGTCTCTCTTTCTCTGTAAAGCCATATCTGTAGGATGTCTTAAAAACAGTGTTAGCAAGATCCCCACAGCTTCAGGCTCAGTTTTCAACCTACCACAGCATTGGGCCCTTAAAGAGTATTTACGAGAAAAAGGGAGAAAATTGACATTTATTTTGGACATTTTCACATAGCTGGGATATAGATTTGTCTGTTATTAGTGTTGAAGAATGTGCATAATGTCATGTGTGTGACCATTAATAAGGATTTCACTTTTAGATAAGTATTATTATTATTATTTATTATTATATTATTATAGACAGTGTTAGACAATTATTTAAGCTTTTATTACTCTAGTATAATAGAAATTTCCATATTGTATGTAATAATATGCACTGCTTTATCTTACATTTTGTTGTTATCAAAATCTATACATTAAATATATATATATAGATTAAATATCCAAAATTCTATGCTAGCATCCAGAA